ATCACCTTCCTTTGACAATAGTCATCTATGGATGACTATTTCCATCTATGGAGATCAGCTGTACAGATACTGTCATAGAAGGAGCACTTGCCAGCTGGGTAGGGGTCAAGCACTAATTTTCACAGTGCACACAAGACTCCTACAGAGTGAATGCATTTTCTACTTCACTACAGCAGCATAGAGATTGGCCCATTTTCTTAATTATGGAAGAGTAAAGTGGATTAGGGAAAGACAGGTTAGGATAACTGCTGTTTTTCCAATGAGGGTAGAGATAAGCAGCTATTCTCTTTAATGAAACTAAAATTGTTACCTTGCATATGAAGAAAAGCTACAAACCTGCTGGAATCTACCCATATTTTTTACAATAAGAAGCTTAGATGATGACTAACCATCTAGATTGTAATTTTTGTTGCTATGGTTTTGCCAAAACAGAACCACTATCAGGAAAAGGCGAAAATTCTCCATGTGAACTCCTTACTTCATACTGATTTTAGCTGACCTTTTAAACTGAGATTTTGTAAGACATGTTTGTCTGTATGGAAAAAATTATAAAACCTTAATTTGATGAGAAGTGAAGGACAGTCATCCAGGATAGCTCTTGCCGTTTTTCTGAATACCAGCCTAAATCAAATTAACATATGGATGGCTACAAGCTATAGCCATTTTGTTTCCTACTTTCCATCCTGCTAACCTTTGCAATGAACAGGACCAGGGAGAACAGTTCACAGTCATGGAATTAAACACAGCATGACAATACTACATTCTGAATATGCCTGATTCCTGAGTGCTTGGTTTAAAAGCATCTCACGATTTTAATCCAATAAGAAATTTCTCTCTTTTATATACGTACGGTGTCAATATGCCCTTTAGTGAAGGAGATAGGGTACCTTAAACTACTGGCAACTTTACTTACTAATTTTGAATACTCATTATGGTACACAGTTTAATATGTCACATTCAATTTCTCAGTGAAGCATTGTATTATCAGTGAGTTTTTCAGCATCATTTGAATGTGCCTTAAATTCAGTTAATACTTTGAACAAAAAAGAAATGCTGAAAAATAATTATAAAATGTTCTCAGAAAACTTTAACTTTTCATTTTTACATAAATTGTTCTCTAAAAAAATTCTAAATTGAACTATTCTGTTTCTGTTTGAGAATTATTTTTTCTGTAGGGAACATATAAGAAATCTGCAACAATTTTTATATGAATTATGCAAAAATATTTCACAAAGACTAATTTTGTTTTCAGTTTAGCATTTTTGATTTCTCCTGAAAAGTATTTTTTTCTTTTTGCTAATTTATTGCATCATAAGTGAACATGCTATTTAAGAACATCCTTTAACGAATTTTAATGGATTTTTGCTGATACATGCACAGTGTTGGCATGAATTTCTCTGTTTTGTACATCTGTGTGCTGAAGGTTGTAAAAATAATTCAGTGGTAAAGATATGTGTGCTGGGTAATTAAAATGCTGGCATGTAAAGCAGAAACTTAGCAAAAGAGTGACTGAACTGTTACAGCAATATTTCATAAAGTTTCATAGCCAACTTTCCTTAAAGAAATATATTCTGTGATCTCAACATGTAGGATGTGTATATAGGAGTATATTATACACACCAGAAAAGAATTTTGTATATCTATCTGAAACAGAAGATTATCTAATAGTTCATATATGCTATGTTGTCTGGTGATGATTAACAGGGCAAAAACTCCTTTGGAGCCTTGTATTCATCTTTTCCCCTAGCAAAAACGAAGGTCCTGTTCATAGGCAGGAATCTTGAAAGCACTAAGCTGTCAAATTTACAAAGAAAAGAAATATCTAATCAATCAGGCTCAATTTGTGATAAAGGGCTTAGAACTAAAAGGATTTGGTCAAGTAGCAGACATCCTTCCTCTCCATTTCCAGATAGCCATAAGTATTGTTCTGTAATGAAGGCCATTTATCTACTAAAGGACTAGAAAGTTCAGAAAAGCTGTGTATGTACATTCTGTAGGTGTCTGAGCAGCTGAAACTGCAGCTATTAACCACAGACAGTGTTGGGCTACAACTTGTAAATAAATCAGTATAGATTTAGCAAAGTTTTCCTAGTGGGGTTTTTCATTCAACTCATTTCTTGTGTAAACAAATTTTACTCTAAGAAGTAGTTCAGCCCTGTAAATAGTCTGAAGGGGGAAAATTTTGACAAGTTCTGATTGTGTGAAAAAAGGAAATCAGAATGGAAGTTCTGACTTGGTTTAAATACATTAAGTCTATACTTTGTATTCCTATCTCAGTTCTGTTTGCACAACATATTTTGCAAAAACATTATTTACAATTTATTTTCTATAATTTGTGATAATTATGTTGTACACATTGGATAAATAGAGCAAAGGACAAAGACACACAGAATTCTGATGGCTGAGCAAGATATTACAAGTTATCCTGCCCAAGTCTTTAAAAGTATTTGAGCAGTTAGCCAACAGTCTGTTTCAATAGCTGTCAGGCACACATGTATCTTAAAGACTGTGATTGTGCATTTAGGTAGCACTAATCTCTTTTAAGCTAGTTTCTTCTGGCTAAACAAATAATGAAGAGCTAAGTTTCACCAAAGAGCATTCAAGCTAATGAAAACCATGCCTTTGGTTATTTTCTCTGAACTTTAATCCCATTTGAAGTTTGTTTTTATTCTCATTACATATGTCATGGTAATAAAGTTAGAAGAGGCCATTCGATTATTTAGTTCGAGCTTCTGTATAATGTAAGCTCTTAATGTCTCCCTGTTATTTATATGTTTACTTTGTAACTTCTGTACAATGAAAGCACAAATAGAATGTATAATGCATATAGTGTTTTTCTGTCGAAGTATAAAGAATCCTTCATTTCAAATTTGCAGTATCGCTTTATCTGAGGATCACAATGGAATTTTAGGTTTGCATTTTAGCTCTTAAAATAATTTTAAACAATTCTGGCAGTAGTAGAAAAAACACTTTTGGGTACATAGATTAATTGTCTAACTCCTAAATAGTTTAAATCCTAAGCCTGTAAAATAAATTATGTATAGCTTGAATTTAAAGGAAGAAAGAATAATAGTTTTCCTTTGGGAAATAGCTTTAATTTTAAAAGAAAATTATTGGGTTTATGTAACTCTCAGCTGGGAATGCATTTATTAGCAAAACAGCTATTCAGTGTTTTGAAACTTTAGTTCTGCCTAAGCTACAGGCTCAATAAGAAGTCAGCATACAGCCAGTTTACACTAAGGAACTAAACCCCTAATGCACCTTGTTTGGCTTGGTTAGTAAAGAAATGACTGCAAACTAAGTTCTTGTAAAATGTGTCTCGAAAAATTAATGTGTGCAAGATAGTTGTGTGTATTTTCTTCTCCCCTCCTCTCCCATGGGATATAAGATGCTCTACAGGCACCCCCAGACACTGAAACCTGGCTTTTGTGTAACAGCTTTCCAGAGCTTCATGTATTCCTTTTTTATTCAGCAAAGCAGCTTTGTTCTGCTTTCCCAATGTTGTAGATTCATTTTCTCATTGCTCTAGGCTACACCAAGGAAGAATAGTGAAGCTGCTGGTTTTGATCCATAGATCTTCTGCTTAAGTGTCCTCCTCCTCCTGCTTGTAGACTTGGCAGCCTCAGTGCTCTGCTCTAGGCAATCTTGCACAGGGTGTCTGTGCCAGGTTACCTCCTCGTGACATACATCAGGTGCTCCTGTGTTATGAAGAATGTTGCCCTTCTTCCCTAACCTGGTCAGTAGGAAGCCAGCCTCACCAGATGGGGCTCCCCAGCCCTTTTCCTACCCCAGGAATGGTGTGGCAACAGCTTTCTGCATACAGGGATAAGTTATTCCTCAGATGCATTCAGACTCTTATGCACACACACACATCTAAGGGTGCCTTTTCAAAGTACTAAGTTGCTGTTGCTGCTACTTCTCTGTTTTGAAAAAACATTTCTCCCCACCCCCACCTCTCAACCCCCCCATGCCAATTTGACACCAGAAATTCATTAGTGCTTGGGTGCTTTGTTGTGTTTTTCTGGGGTAGGGATGGAAGGGAGTTGTTCTTTGTTGAGGTGAACTTCCTTAACTTTGTTTGGTTAAGCCTTCTGCTCACTGTAGAGCTTTCTCTGCCTTCACAGAGATGCTTGCCAATAAATCTGTCATTGGTTTCGATGGGTGAATGTTTTCCTGATGTGATCAGGGGTCTGTTTGGAAGGGGGAGGTTTGCAAAGATATTTGGACATGTGTCACAGAAGAAAACCATCACATTTTGATGTTAGGACACTGATAATTTAATGCAAAATCACAATGTGAAAAGCTCTGTATCCCATTGCAAGGTAACAACAGTTCTGGGACCAACCTCTATCATAGCGTCTGCTTACATCTGTAGGGGTATTTTTTCTCCTAAGTAACACAGCTATCAGCTTCAAAGGGACAGTGAAGAATGAAAAAGAGGAAAGATCATGACTTTTTAACACCTGCCTCCTAAAAAGTGCGTGCATGTGTGTATACACTGTCCCATACGCATGACTCCACAGTACTCAAAACTGTTCTCTAATCCTTTTAACTGTGTAACTCCAAAGAGGTATCCTATGAACTTCTTATATTTTTTTATACTGGATATTTTCAGCTTGGGTTAGATCCTGCTAACTTTGAGGTTTTTATTTGCATTACTTACAGGCCAAGAACTATTCAGCTCTTAGAAAGAGCTTAGAAAGAGCACTGATATTTGTCTTAAAGGTTTTGCCATGCATAAAAGGGAAAAATGGTGTTATTTCTATTGGTTCACCTTCAGACCACACAGCAAATTCAAACAGAAATAACTAAGTGAAGAGAAACTGCTAAGTGGAAGAAGGGGATAAGGAATATGTCTCTGAGCCTCAATCTGAAAGGTCACATACCTGGCGTCTTATGAATGTCAAGTCTGAAAATGAAAAAGCAGTGAAAATAAACCAGTGCATTTGCATTGCTGGTTGGCAAGTTCCCTCACTAGCTCTTGCTGTCCTTCCTGTCAGGATCTGTCACTGTGAGGGAGATGATGAAAGTCCCCTCATTACACCGTGTCGCTGCACAGGGACCCTGCGCTTTGTTCATCAGGCCTGTCTGCACCAATGGATTAAAAGCTCAGACACACGCTGTTGTGAGCTCTGCAAGTACGACTTTATAATGGAGACCAAGCTCAAACCTCTTCGGAAGGTATGTTGCTTTTGAATTTCATTATCCTTCAGTGTCAAATAGCCACAATGGCAGTGCAGATCACTGCCCCAATTAAAGAAACATCTGCTTGTCCAAAATAGTTTTGTATTTGCTGTTGTTAATTCAGTCATGGTGATTTTATGTCTACATTTAAATTAGTTGATATGCAGCAGCAGAGGATTTTGACTGAAGACTCTTTCAGAGCACATGCAATGTAAGTGCACAAATAACATTTTTTAGTGTTTAGAATTTTTATCTGCAGCTTTTTCTTATTGGCTCATCTGCCTATTTTTAAGTCAGAAAGGAATCTTTCTCATCAAGTTTTGCTCCTGGATAACAACAGACAGTTCACTCAGTAGTTTTTACATTGAGTTGAGAATGACATACCAATGTGGAGACAGCAATTATGAAGTAACGACGTCAGTCAATTTAGCTGCATCTGTTCTAACTGTTACACTTGCGGGCAAATTAATCACTCGTACATTAAGGTTAGTTGATAGAATATAAACTACAGGGTGACCTTACATCCTGAAAGTCAAAGGTAGGTTATCTGTGCTCATCTGTTGTCCAGGATAAATCAATATAATGGTACACAGGTTGTCAGTGTAGGGATGGTAAGGAGTTTGTTAAACAAATGTGGGGTTTATTTTCTTTGGAGTGAATTATTTCTCCTTTAATTTTTCTTTAAAAACGTTCTCATAATTTTTTGTTTTCTTTTATCTTTGAAGTTTGAGTCAATCTAGAACAGGGCAAGTTTTGATTTAGAATAAATTTCAACGTGAGAGACCTTGAAAAACGTTGAAACTATTAGCTTATATAACTAGTATATGGCTACATACTAATGTTTTGATGGAAAAAGACATTTTGATTTTGTCAGCCTCACGCAGGTAGCAGCAGTTCAGAGAAAGGAGAGCAAATGGAATTCCTTCTCATTTCCCATTCAGAGAAACTTTCTAGTCAGTTCCTGATGATAAACCACTTTTGAAGAGAGAATTAGGATTGATTTGACGAGCAAAGCTTGTGATAGGAAAGGACACAGTTCTCAAGTGCCAAGTAGATCTTTCCAGGGAGACTGAAAATTGAAACAGATGTAAATAAAAAAAGGATGACTGAAGACTTAATCATATTGACTTAGAGTTTAGTAATTGCAGATAAATTTTAACTAATGTGACAGGAAAGAGATAACTGTATAAAATCCCCTGCCTGTCGTATGTCATTTTTTTTTCTGAAAATAGGTTTTATTTCAGTGTTTTCTAAACAAAAGACCTCAGATTTAGTTCCTGTAGAAGAGTACATATTCAATTCCATACAAAACTTATTTTATTAAAAAAAAAAAAAAAAGAAGGCAACTATTTTCCCTACAGTGTAAGTTTCAGGCCTGCTCCAGAAGATGCCATTTCCATGACCATTAGTTCTGCACTGAAGTGACATTGTAGAAGTGAGAGGGCCACCTCTCTCAACCAGTTTTCATTTTAATCTCTACTCTCTACTTGTGATGTGAGATTCTAGTTTTGTTCTTTCCTGTGCATTGCAAAATACAGACTACAGAACTTAATTACATGCATCTATACTTTTGTTTTTGCAGTACCACAGAAGCAGAATTTAAATATATACCGAACTATTTGATTTGAGTGGTATATTACCATCTTTATTCATGCCTCAGCCTTTCATATACCCTCAATGTTTCCTAACAGCTTTTTATCATAGCAAAAACGTTTGAATATCGTATCATACAGCTGTTAGCACCCATAAGTGATAATGTGCAGCATACTGTTAGCATAAATCAAGATACCTTTACTAAATCAATAGGCCTGTGCCAATATGCTGCACTTATTTAATTACAGAATCCCTGAAAGAACCAGACATCAAATAAAACTTAGTTTAATCATTTTAGTGAGTCTCTGCCTTGAAGTAATCCTTTTAAGCATTGATCAACAGGTATTGCAAGTGTTTCATATATTTGAGCAGGTCCAATTACTTGGCTGAATACAAAATTAGAAATTAAATATTAAGCATTGCTTTGTGTCTGTTTTATTTCTCATAGTCTGTGTTATGTCTATCTATCGTTATAGTAATACAGTTGCATTTGTAGCTTTACCTTTCAGCATTTGCAACCCATAATGCAGAATTTCTCATTTATAAAGTGACTTTATTTGTTATGAGTTAGAAAGTGGCAAGAAGCTTGTGGGAGTTCCTTACTGAGCTTTCTCAGGTAATAGCTTCATCCTGAGAAAATCACTTCTTCTTTAAAAAGGATGTAATCCTCGTAAAGTAACAACCTGCATTTCATATCTTTTGAATTTGGTGTTTGAAGCGTAGTAGAAACAGGAACTGAATGAAAATACTGTGAGTATGAAATGGATTAAAGTGTCAGATTAAAAGATGTTCAAAATGCAGGAGGAATGTCTTCAAATGGAGATTTCTCCACAGGGTCTCGCTAAACTTCAAAATACTTTTCGTATTTAAATTTTGCTGTCCAGTTAAGATGTGTGGTATCTGATGAGATGTGTTACTTCAATGCATTATCCCAGCAGATTATTCTGTGGTGTTGGATGTCTATTTCCTCTCCTGATTTTATTTAATCCTTGATAATAACTTGGTTTTGTGAAGCATTAGCAATATTGCGTATCATAGCCATGCAGTTACTCTTGGTCATTAAGGAAGAGCAAGTTATTTTTTTGTTTAGGGAAGCATTATGTACCAGTTAAGGTTGATTTTCTTTCTGAAAGAAAGGGTATATGAATTCATCCCTTTCAACATTGGGAGTGTTCTTTTAGAACAGAGTGATAAGTTTCTGTTAAACTAAACAGAAGCAAAACCAGTGTTAAAACACTGATAATGAAAGAAACTTAATCTTGTTTATTTTGAATGTGTAGATATATCTTCTAAGTGTTTACTCTGCTTGTATTCTGTATTTGTATTTATACTGATAAACAGCACTTCAAAATTTGATATGAGGTTTCACACAGGAGCCTCAGATACAAGCCTGTCTTTGGGTTTTACACCCTTGAACTCTGTGGAACTTCTGCTATCATAAGAGGAGAAGGAAGGAATGCTCTGTCTCCTCTTGTATCATTAACTTTATAAATAATCAGATAGTAATAAGAGTGATAAAATGTCTATGACAGCTTTAACTCCTTTACAGGATCAAAAATTTTAAGTCCCAGCTGGAGATAACGTGGTTCAGAACTTTCCAGAGCGGGGTATTTAGGTTCTGGAGAGAAGTTTCAGAACACACTAACTGAGATTTCCATGCAAAGCAAAACTCGGTTCAAGCATATCGGTGCCCCTTTGTGGTCAGATTAGTGATTAACTGGTTAAATCAGTTTGAGAAAGATTTCAAAGGTTTGGTGTAATGCTGATTATACTATTGGATCAAAAGCAAATATTTAGTTTTACTGTAGTAGGTTAAAGATACTCTGTTTGCAACAAGACCATCAGAACAGTAAGAGCTGTGTATCCAATTAAGATGTATAGTTTGAGCCAACAGACAGCTTGTGGGTAATGCCCAGCTGCAAAGCAGAGGAATCAGCAATTCCACAGGCTCCTTAATAGAAATAATAAACTGAATCACCTATGGAAGGAACGGAAGAAAATCAGAATGCTGCTTTGAGAGGTTTGATAGATGAAACAAAAGTCTTAATTAAACCTTTAAGTACCATTTCTCTTGTAGACTTACTGTTTCACTTTGGAGCAGGGACACATCTGTTTCTGCTCTCCCTGTTGGAGTCAAAACTGCATAGGGGACTATTTTTTACAAAAGAGTTGTCATCTGCACCACTTTAAATCCAGTTGTCAGAGCACTTAGATAATGTGTGAGAGAGCCAGATTCAGCTCCCTTCTCTATGCTCAACATAGTCCTAGAAAAAGAATAAATCTTTAAAAACATGACTGCCTGGGGGAGTTCATTCATAACTGGATGCTTTGTGGATAAATCTTGGTTTTTTTTTTATAAAATCTGGTAGCGTGCAGGGTAAGTTCAGTGACAGCAGTTAAGTTAAGGGTGTTAATTTATTTTTGGTTCAGTGCTACCTATGTAATTCATATTTACATTCCTTACTTATGAATACGGTGATCACTGCCAAAAGTGATGTAGCCTGCACAGACATCTTCATGAAATCCTTCTATGAAATCAAAAGTGGTCGCCTTTGGAAACCATTTCTCCTACCAAAGTAGACTCCCAGAACCAGAAGCGACCTGTAGAGTCTCTCAGGAAAATAAAAAGAGAAACTTGAAGAACTCGTTATTGTAATGCTTGCTGTTCACTTCTTATTGCCCTGTGCTGTGAAGTATAAACCATCTGGCTTTTTCATCAGTTTTCTAATAAGGCTCATGATAAGAAGTGATAGCTAATATTGCATAGGTCAGGTAGCATTGACTTGCTGTGGGATTCATTGCCTTGTAACCCAATTTGGTGGATACTTTGCAATCTTTAACATAGAAGATCCTACATTTTCTTTTAAATTCTGGTGCAGCTACACAGTGTTGTCAAGGCAACCTCCTCTAGTCTTATCTTTTTTCCAGTAAACTGTCTCGAAACATTGCTAGCTGCAAATCATTTCTTGTAATATGTGGGGTCAGACACTTCACTAGTATGCACAAAGGCACAAAGCTATTACTTTCTTATTGGCTATCATGTCATTATAGTGAATAACTTTGTGCTCGAGGGAGAATGTGTATATTAAAGCTTTTAAAGTAAAAATAATTCTATAGCATTTATATCCTATTGTGATGCCTCAAGGATGCAAAGGACTACATTGTTCAGACAGTTGTATGTCCAATTTGTGAGAGAGAGTAATAGAACTCTACCGCTAATTTATCTGTATATAGACCGCATGTTGTAGTTTGCAGAGTAATGTTGTCGTGCATTTTGTGCCATAACAAGAATAATAGACCTTAGCTTTCTTGTAATGGTAGAATTTGGGTTAGCTTTCAACCTCTGTATTTATTTCTCTTCCATTCAATATGGCTTTTATTAACACAGCTCTGGAACTTTGACA